AAGCGCAGTACAGCCCCCAACTCAGATTTGAAAAAAAAACAGTGGATGGCTGTTTTCTGACTGGTCAGCAGACCGCCAACCGGTTGGCCCTAGTGGTCGGCTGCAAAACGGTCGGCGGTCGGGGTCGGCAGGTGTGCAACCCTGGTGGCTGGTCATTTCACACCCGTTCGATGGGTGATCGGCTTGGGTTCTACTAAGTCAGGTTTTGGGACAAGACTGTCCAGAGTAGGGCCCATAGTAGGGCCCAGTAAGGGGGCTGGAATCAGTGGGAACTGGCTCCAGACCTGTTCATAACTGGTAGGCACTTGAGGGGCACGATAGAGAGGTACTCTGTATAGGTGGTCCAGGAGGCCAAGTGGGCCATTCGAACTCCAAATGACTGAGTCTCGGGGGGGATCCGCCCAAAGCCTTACTCCGACCTCTACAACAACCTGGGCGATTTGAAAAGAAAATAACAAAAAAAAAAAAAAAAATTGAAAAAACACACACGAGGCCCACACAAAGCTGACAGTACAGGATAGACACATTTCAACGTTGTGATCTCTCTTTACACTTCATCAAGATGCACGGGCAAACCCTTAGCACAGGCAGAGTCTGCAAAGCAACTTGAGCTTGTGCTCCATGGATCATGTCCCACACGCCACCACCTACAGAGCTGATACAATGACAAGGGATCTAATTCACAAGCCACCCATATTCATCTCCACATAAATCAATCACACAGCCTGTCTATAACAAACGTGTTTCTCTACCCATAAATAAGAGGATCACTTCCTCAAGGGCTGGAGAGTGAAAATAATGGGAGGGGAGCCTTGGTCTTCCTTAGCCCAGGGCAAAAGATCTGACAGCAGAGCTGCACAAGCACGGCTTGCCAGGATTTCGGCTGCCCTACTAAAAGCATGCACGAATGCACCATGGCATCCACGGAAAATAGCTCATGGGAAATCTCAGGGACCTCTCTCTCTCTCTCTCTCTCCAATGCAGCCTGATCCCGTAAGATTGCAAGGGTTTGTATCCACTTCCATGACAAAGCATTTTGAGCTCTCCAAGCAGAGTCGAAAGATGACGTATTATGGGAAGAGGTGCAGGTCATGTCCAGCGCTCAAAGTTGCAAACATGAATAGAAGAAGGGTCCAGTAGTATGTACCTCTGTTGGAACCCCATGTATACACCTCCCCACTTTCTGTAGCCACAATTGTGTGATGCTTCGCTGTCCCAATAGCCACAACGCGCCTTGATCCCAGCCCAGCACAAACCTTCTCGGGTGTGATTACTGCGGTTTGGCCACTGCCATCCCAACCCCAGAAGACAGGAGACCATCAGCCATGCGTAAGTCCTGCAGACTACCTTGTACAAGCTTGACAAAGGCACTCGCACACTTCTTCCTGGACACAATACAACACCCTTTTACTGAGTACAGTGCAACATCCAATCCCGACTAAAGAATGGTGACCAAAGAATGCGCAAAATAGAGGTCAGCCTTAGCAAAAAGCTAGTCTGTTAGGTGTCAAACGAACAAGAATGCCAAATGTTTAGCATTATGATGGATTGCACTGACCCACACAGTTAGGCATGGCAATTGGAGGTGGAGTAAAATACTGGGCTGTCCTCTGCACAGCCCTTGTTGAAGAGGACTGAATGCCATAGCTACCAGTGCTACCAAGAGAGAGCAGAGAGGTAGAGGAGAGCCAAAGGAGGGCTCTTTCCCCACTGGCAGTAAGGGACATCTTTCGGACATTGGTTCTTCTTCATTCATGCATTTATGGTTATTATTTTGAATAAATACCGAGGAGTTATGTGAGGTGTGATGATGAAGGTAGTGCGAGAAGGGAGGACACCTCTTCTGTTGTTATTCATCGCCTTCTCCTTGTTCCTCATTCTCTTCCCTTCTTTGTACCGTTCCACTTCCCTTTGAGTAGAACGGCATTCTTTCAAAGTTTTCAGTTTTTCTATATTGATTGGGCAGGATCACAACAGAGCTGAAACGTGGACAGTGACGTTCAGGGAAAATACCTGTGTATGTGAAAGTCCGAGTGACCAAGGCGGCCTCCTCGGCCAAACCCCCATGAATAGAGCGCTCCTGAGGTAGTCAGCGCTGCACTGTGAAACTTTGCTGCTGCCACATTTGATACCCTCAGTCCCTGCAAACTGTCTACACGGGCAGGGACATGTTGAATCCCAGTAGTTCCTGTTCCCAGCTGATAGTTCAAACCACTTCCCCAGCTGTAAACTTCCGTCACCAAGCTGTCCGACGAGGTACCTAAATTGTCAGCAGCAGCATCAAGCATACCCTAGTCGTAAGCCACTCTCTCTCTCTCTCTCTCTCTCTCTCTCTCTCTCTCTCTCTCTCTCTCTCTCTCTCTCTCTCTCTCTCTCTCTTGTTTACACACACACACAAAGCACACTCTCAAACGAACTTATGCACACAGTCTCGCAAGCATACACGCTGACACACAGACCATTTCAGTGTCATAGAAGGTGTGCATCTCGAAGAAACAAGATTAAGTGGCAACACAAATGCTAGGATCCTAGTAAAAATTGCATATCTATGTGTGTGTGTGTGTTTCCCCTGTCCGTGATGGCACCTTATGCTCCGTAAGCTCTCCCTTCCATTTCACATGGATTCCATCGTTGTCCTCATTCAGGAAGGAGAGCTCGTACAACTATCCTAGATCATACCTAGATGACCTGCTACGTCTACCCCCGCAATCAAAAATATGATGGGGTGAGGATTCACGAAACCTGTCTTGGTGAGGAGTTCTTTCTCAGATCCAAGGACATATGCAATTCATCTCACAATATTATTGCGATATTGAGGGAAAGTGAGGGAAAGTGAGGCACTGGACATATGCAATTCATCTCACAATATTATTGCGATAAATTGAGGGAACGTGAGGGAAAGTGATGCGCTGTGGCCAGGCTGGTCCCCGGATGGACCGGGGACCCCTACCCCATCCGCGGTCCTTCCAGTTGGACCGGCCGGTGGCCCGGGCCGGTTCCCTCCCGGTTGCCCCCAGCGCATTTTCGCTGGGGGATGTATTTTTTTTTTTGTCGGCACGTATGTGTTCCCAAGGCCTCGTGGGGGCGGGCCCTGCCCCGCAATTTCGAAACCGGGTCCTGTAGGCCCGGATTTTTCAAGTACAGAAAGTGGCCAATCTTGACCGCCGATCGTCGCAGATCAGCGGCAAAGATCGGCCAGGACCCCATTTCTATAAGAAAAACGGGCAGAGGCGTTTTTCCTAAGATGTGGGTCAGGTAGGCCCCTAATCCAATTTGTCATCTTGTGGTCCAATGGACCAGTTACCATTGGCAACATCTGAAGCTCTTTCACCCTCAGCCACGAGGGGAACACTATGCTTCTGATGAGACTCTGCTGAGATTATATCCTTCTGTGACGTCCCTGCCATATGTGGAAAAAGTTATGGGTTTGGATTTTGGAATTGTGATTTCAGAGCCGTCCGAGGTGCAATCCCAAGAATGGACCTAAAATATAGGGCGTTGCTGCACTACTCTCGACATGCACAAAAGACAAAAATCTCGGCGGTGCATCTTTCCGAATTCTAGCGGAAGATTCACTCTCGTTTTGCACATTTCGAGAGTAGTGCAGCGAGGCCCATCTTCTTCTCTCCATCTATCTCGAATGGACCTTGCTCCACTACATGTATCTGGACAGACTGCCAGACAAGATACTTCCGGACTGACAACTGACCTTATGTAGGAGCCAACAAACAGAAAACGCTCTGCCTCCACGAGCAGAAAGCTGGAACCATAACTTTTCTGCTGTCGAAATATACTCTGGAAGAGCTATAATTTCGGCCAAGGACCTCCTCTCATCATATCTGGTTCAGCTCGTGGGATATCAATATCAAATGACATACTCCACGAAGTGCTCCAGCGACGGGGGGGTCGGATAAGTGAACTTGCTAACTTGACCCCTCCCGGAGGAAGCCGTAGTTGCCTGAATATGTCAATGATAACCCCCTGCCCCCCTCTGGAAGCCCCCTGAAAAATGTTGTACCTTAAAAATTTTATTGCGGATTCGGACAGCTCTTGAAGAGCGCAGTCGGAATCTGCCCCAAAAAA